TCTGATTTCGATATCAGGAAAAGTGTTGACGATTCTCCTAAACGCTGTTACTGTACATGCCCATGAAATTCCTCTCATCTGGTTGTTTCGTTGCCAGTTCAACCAGGGCAGCAGATCTGATCTATCATCGCAAAACCGATTAATTTGGGCCGCAGTTTTGTATGGATTATTTACTCCGATGAGGGCAACGCCTCTTTGCGAAATCGGATTGTAGACAACTTTCCAGAATATTTCGGGAACGGGAAGTGACCTTTGGGTGCCACTTACATGAAGGTAGAGTTCAGTTTCTCTGCCTGTTGTTGCATGTGGTAGAGTGGTTACACCAAATCCTCCTGCGCAAACAAATTGCTCGTTTATTTAATATAGTGTGTCTACTTAAGTTGGCAACATATGAAACACTTTTTAATTATTATTAATTTTTCTACAAAATTTATTATTTATAAAAAATTCTGCATGTCCTAAAATCTAAAATACATCATCATATATTAAATTGGTTCAGTAATGTAGGAGGTTTGGCAAAAAATATGAACTTTGCTAAAATTAATAATAAAAATGTTTTCCATATGTTGACGACTTAGGACACATTTRAGATCAAGGTTATCGTGTGCCTATAATACCTATCACAAACATTATGTGTACTAAGAGACATCTATAACTTTTTCTTAAAAACTTCTGATCTTTTTCAGAAATTTAGCTCAAATATTGTATAGCTTAGGCTGCAAGGGTTCAGGTTCACAATTAGTGAAAATCTAGTGAGTGCTAATTTTTAAAAGGCATATTATCGTTTTGCTTTTAAATCTTCGTCCAATACTCCAGGGTAATATTTGTTCTCGTGGATTTTACGTATCCGCAACAAAAATATAATAAAATCCCACTTTATGTACTCATCTACAAAAGAATCTGTTCAACATCGTTCAGCGCATCGGAGCTATATTATGGATAATGAATTATATTTTAACAAAGGATTGATCTGGCAAAATTGAACTAAATATCTGTAGTAAACAGCTGTAGTAATCAAGAAGCAAACTTTTATACATTCAAAAACTCGTTGGAAATCTCTGATGGAAACGGAGCGCTTGCGGACTTATGTTTAGATGCATTTTTAGTCATACAATAGTTAATAATTAAATAATTGTCATTTCCTCTTGTCTAATCAAGATATTTATAAGACCTTTCCTCTTGTCTAATCAAGATATTTATAAGATCTTACAAAAGTTGATTTTTTTGGACATTTCATAAAAAAAGTTCCTATAGACATAGGTCTGGAAAAATGTATTCTCCCAGTTGCGTGGTGCGTTGGTGATAATTTTATTTAAAGTACAACATTTTACAATTTGTTCAAAAAATGTACGCAATTGACTTTAAGTGCATTTCAATATGTTTTGAGACAAAGGAACGAAAATCATGACTTTACTGTAGGTTGAAATTTTAATGTGTTTTCTTCGTTTACCAGACAATTAAACATTCTTTTTTGTATGTATATTTCTCATACAAAACTGTTTATTTAAAAATTGGTTAAATTTTAAAACAATTTTTTTAAAAAACAATACAATTTTCTTATAAAAATAACGAAAACTGTTAAAAGCCTAACTCTTTGTATTTTGAAACGTGAAACATCTTTTATCTTGGAAAGGGAACATATTCGGTCTTATATTTGACTGACCTATATTTGATTTGATTATAACTCTTAGAAATATTGCCGTGCTAATTTTAAGCACCCTGTATATATTCAAACTACTTCTGGAGCAAGGACAACGCACGCAATAGCGTCCCGAAGCAAAGAGAGGGCAAAAATTTTGACCCTAAGGATTTTATACGTAAATACTTAACTCCTCACATTCTTTAATAGAGAGACGAAAAAAATTAACAACAGAGAACGATTCAAGAAGAAAACCCACAAATATCAAATTTTTAAATTTCAACAATTGGAGAACTTATCCCATTATTTTGTCGCTTGATTTGAGTTAAGTCCTTCTAGAGGAGAAATGAACATTTTTTAACCTACGAAACCAAAAATCGCTCAGTGAAATACAAATTCTATCTTTCAATAAATCCACAATTCAAAAGATGTTAGTGTGTATCGCTTTTCTAAGAAGACGCTCCTTTGGTATAAATGGAATCAATGACTCTTTAAGCGAAAGTTAGCGCCGCTCCATTAGAGGGATTGAAGATCGTCAGGAGAACGATTTCTCTAAATAGCGCTTAATTTCATTTCGGTTTAAGGTGCGTTAGCATTCACTAAAGCTAAAACTGACCTGTCCAAACTTGTAAGTTAACATTATTACTCTCAGCGTAGTCTTGAACATCAGTCTCAGCTTGATCCCAGTTGAAACCATTGAACGTTTGCCATTGAGGTAACGCGTTCAAAAACTGGAAAGTGCTGTTTTGTTGAGCGGCATAGAAGAAGTCACTCGTTGCCGTTAGATGTCCCCTGGACAAGAAGTAGTTATTGTTGTTTTGGATAACATTGAAACTGCCGGTTGGTAGACCGAGTAGGGCATTGATGGTTACTCTTTGCGTTGCTTGGGTGAAAAGATTGTTGACGTTGGTTAATGTAAATATTCCAGTTCCCTGAGTCCAACTTGGTCGGGGTGTACCTGCAGACGTTCCAATGAAAAAAAAACGTAGCGTATCAGTAAATCAACACAGAAAGATGCATTCTGTTGAATTAGTTATTTTTGTCCTTAGGAATTTCTACGCTGAATATCCAACTTACCTCTTACTTGCTGAGTAATTGCAGGAATTAAATCGTAGTATGTGTAAATTGGTGATTGGGTAGCCTGATTGAAGCAGATTTGTATAGTTCTGACAAATCGACTTGTTGTAACTGCGAAACCAATTTCGGCTTCACGTCCGTTGGACTCGCAACTGTTTCCTGTTAATCTGGCAGTGGTGACTGGATTAACGGAACACTGAATTTGTCGCCAAAGATATCTAAA